TCCCTGTGGCTGCGGTTCTCTATTCCCGGCCAATGAGAGCTGTGGGAAGCGGCAGGCAGCAAGTCCCTGCAGCTCCTTTGCCTGCAGGCACCACTTCCCACATGCGTAATCTGATTGCAGGCCGCAGGTTGCCCACCACTGATGCATAGTTGGGTGCTTAAAGGTAATCTGCCATTTGCATAAAAGGACAAAGGTTGCCATGATAACAGAAGCATGTGTTTTACGAGTACAAACTGCTACTTACACTTGGTGTATTATAGCACTGTATATGTTAAAAGCACCAGACATATATTAAGTAATCCGGGTAAGGTCAGCGTTATCATCTGACAGATGGGGAAAACTGAGACAGAACGGCAAAATGAACTGCCCCAGGTCACATGGGGTATGACTTACAGTGCTGCAGCAGCACAGCTGGGCCCCAATAGTGAAGATGTACCTACACCAATGGGAGAGCATCTCCCATCGGCATAGGTACTCCACCTCCTCGAGAGGCGGTAGCTATGTCGACGGGAGATTTTCCACACCCCTGAGTGACGTAGTTATACTGATATGTTTGTCGTGTAGACCAGGCAGATGTCTACACTGCACACTAAGCCTGCGTCTTTGGGAACCAGGCTTGTGGACGTGGTGTTTCCAAGCCTGTGCTGGAGCTTCCAACTGGATTGTAAACCTGGATTTACAATTGCTGGACCTGGGTCTCACAGCTGTGCTAATGCATCCATATTGCACTAGGCAGACCTTCTAACTTGGGTCTGTGGCTTGAACTGCGTTCACACTGCAAAATGACAGGGCTAGGACTTAAGCCACAGTGAGAGTTGGGCTCTGACCCCCGCTCCTCCGGCAGGTCCTGGGTCCAAGGTCCTGAGTGACTGCTGAGCTGAGTCAGACGGATATATGGATGGAAGGGGTGCTTGGGCTCAAACCTGAGTCAGAGCCTGGGTTTAATGTGCAGTGGGGACATATCCACAATGAATTAGTGGCAGAGTCAGGATTAAAACTCAGAACTTCCTGTCTTCAAACCCTGTGCTCTTTCAGCCTTACAAACTATTACATATTTTTCTGAGTAAAATGCATGTAAAGTGCCACACCCATAAGGTTTTTAATTAATTAATTGTCATGATTTCAAACATACCTTTCAGAAAAACAATGACAATATATTAAATTGAAGTAAAGCACATTCAAAGCAGATACTGCAACAACAAAGAAATCACTCTCAGGAGAAGGTGACTAAAAGAAAAAATGTGCAGGGTTAAATTAAATGAAATACATCAACCGTGAAGGGCTATTCTCTTTATACAGCACGGAATAGACCTGTTGGATTGGGTAAGAGGTGGAGTAAGTCAAAGAACCTTGTGCCATGTAGAATATATACCATAATTTCAGTCAGTCTTGAAAGCAAAGAACTGCAAAAGGAGAACACTCCATTTAATGTAGAGCATCTCTAGCTATTGATCCTAATCTACACTGAACTCAAGGGAAAAAATCCATACCAAAACCATGCTGAGGTTTGAGCCATCTATGCATCCATCCTTCAGCAATCACCTTCTCTATTAAAATCACTCCAAGTCTTTCTTCAGTGATGTCCTCATGCCAGGCCATCAGATTTACCTAGTGTCAGACCCTACTGTCACAGGCATTTCCTCTACATTTAAGCTGCAGTGCTAATGATAAAATCTTTATTAAATGCAACACGAAATATAATAACTTAACAAATCCAGCCCCTAAAAGAGGAATTTGTGATTCAAAGATAGCAGTCAGAAAAAAAGAATCACAAATAGCCCACAAAAGACAGATCATCACTGCCTATAAACAAAAGCCAGAGGTAAAATTCTGGCCCCATAGAAGTCAATGCAAAACTCCCTTTGACTTTAACAGGGCCAGGATTTTACCCAAAGACCTCAAAATAATGCCAGCTCACAGCCCCCCAAAATGTATGTGCCAATTTTTTTAAAGAGCTATTGGCTTCTAAATGGGCTAAATTACTACAAATTACAGAGCTATGTTTTGAAATGTGTTAAAATAAAGACTATATATGCAACTATATATGTTTATTGTACCCATTTCTATTAAGAACTAGGCAAAGATTAGAAGTTGGAGCCAGACAAATTCAAATTAGAAACAAGGCACCAATTTTTAATGGTGACAGTGATTAACCACTGGAACAGGTAAGTAGTGGATTCCCTGTCTCTTGATGTCTTCAGACCAAGACTCAATGCCTTTCTGGAAGATGTGCTTTAGTAAAACTTAATCATTGGGCTTAATAGGGGGTAACGGAGTGAAATTCTATGGCCTGTGTTATACTGACCAACATTAGATGATCTAATGGTCCCTTCTGGCCTTTTTAAAAAAAAAAATCTATGAATCACAAAGCTCATTGTAACAGAGTGGCTTGCCCTTAACGGGTGAAGGGCCTATGGCTAGCCAGCCCTGATTAAGAAGGAGCCACACGTGGGCTGGATCAGGTAAGTTCACTATAAGAGTGGCAGGCAGCTATAATGAAGAGGAAGCTGGAGAGAGCGAGAAGATGCAGTGCAGTGCAGGGGAGTGTGAGTTAGAAAAAGTGAAAACTGTGTGGTTATACGTGCAGTTTTTCTCCTCTTGTGAGAAGTGATGATTCTCTTCTGTCTCATCACAATGAGAAAGCCAGCTCTGAATACTGTGAGACTTGGCCTCAGCATGATTTCTTCAAAGCAGAGTGCTCTATAGTCTAGGGACCTCTGCAAAGGGCTCTCGGCCTCCATATTCTGACAGCTTCATCCTGGGTCTTGACAGTTCCATTGTCCCTGATGAATATAGCTTTCTTGATGAGATGTGTTTACAGAAGCAATCTATGCGATGCCCTGGCCACAATCAGTTGAGTCATGTAGGCTGATGCCAGGGCCTTGAACTGTATCAGGAATCAAATAAGGCGCCTATAAGGTTCATGGGGTGCACTTTAGCAATGTATTCATGCCAGTGTAGCACAGCCAGGCCCCTTCCATCAACCTCAGATAGAGTAAGTCACTATACTTCAACCAGCTGAGAAAGGCATCCATCATAGTTGCCCGATTGCCCTCTGATAGGAGCTTCTTGGCTAGCCAGAGATGATAAAATCAATTTCTCCTACTACTGTTCTTTGAGCGTCCCTACAGATTCCCAGGCTTGAAGTGTCGGTGGTGCAACTCTGACAGTGGAACACGTCACAGCAGTTTTGTTGGAGCAATCTCACATACCCCCCTCCTGCCCTATAAAAGGGGGCATGGTGTTTTGGCTGCCTCAGTTCTTTCTAACTATGGTTGCAGACAGACTGGAACCTGTCTGGATCCAGCCTAGATCCACTTCTTCAATCAGCAGTGATATAGCTACTTTTAGTTGTTCTTAGTTAGGAGTTTAGTTTTCTCTCTCTCTTTCATTTTATTCAAATTATTTTATTTGTTGAGGCTCCTTTAGATTCTGCACCTTAGTGCGGTCTCATGGGTCCTATGGTACATCTGAAGGAAGGGCCAGACGTAGGGAAAAATCACAGCCTGGGTGAACTTTTAGCACCTTTCTTTGAGTCCAGATGCATGGGGGTTGGGTGGATGGGGGGAGGGAAGGCAGCTCCCCATCCAGTGACCGCTCCCACTGTGGCTGGGAAGCAATGGGGGCAAGAAGCATGGGGAGGGGTGATGCAGAGCTTCCTGCAGCCGGGGGAGGTTCCCAGAGGTGGGAACCACCTATTATTAAGGTTGCCTGACACGTCCCATTATAACACCATGTTTTCAGCTGCTTATAATCTTGACAAACTTTAACTGTTTAGCTGATATTTTGTGAGAATGAAGCTAGCAAAATAATACATTGTTTTGCTCCTGTCAAAAAGTTCTGGAGCTCCCTCCCCACTTTTTTTTTTTGAATAGCATGCAGTACATCAAGCTTAGACCCATACATTAAACAATGAAGAGAAAACAAAATATTGAATAGCTTCTCAGTAAGTGAACACTATCCATCCTGGGCACTGACTGGGGTAGAGGTCCCTGTGGAAAAAATAATGTGTGACCATGTAATTAAAGACTGTGTCATAATGTAAACACAAAAAGGTGCCAAATTAAGATTGCACTGGCAGAGGCAACCTTAATTCTGGTATTCCCTAACTTTTGACTGTTTCATTCTTCAATTTATTAATAGTGAGGAAGTGTGTGTCAGTGAGAGAGAGAGGAGAAAAGATATGATAGATCTAGGTGGGGAAAAAATGAGAATTTTTGAAGAGGAGGACCAGTTGCACATTCCAACTCCCTGGGATCTGAAGAACAGGAATGTCTTTGGAGTGTTTCCTCACCCATTCCTGCTGGGGTTTGAGAGTGAGTCAGTACTTGTGAGAATAGTTTTCTAGGGAACATGTTAAATTACATTATTAATTCATATTGGAGAGTTTGCAATGCTCTGTGTAGATACTTTAGTTTGCTGTAATACAGTGGTTCTCAAACTTTTGTACTGGTGATCCCTTTCACGTAGCAAGCCTCTGAGTGCAACTCCCCCCTTAATATATATAAATGCTGGAGGCAAAGCGGGGTTTGGGGCAGAGGCTGACAGTTCGCGACCCCCATGTAGTAACCCCCTGAGGGGTCCCGATCCCCAGTTTCAGAACCCCTGCTGTAATACCATGTAACATAGTGTTGCTTGTCATCAAATAGCTATTCATGCTGCAAGAGAACTCGAGTTTATATATGTTTCACAATGTTTTCATTCTGAGAAGTTCTACAAAGTACAGAAACTTGGGGGGAAACTCAGATAATCCAGGAGGATTTAAAAATAGTGTCAAATATGCCTATTACTCTTTTTCACTAGAGCCACACAGGCTCTTTGTTTTTGTGGACTTGTCCCATTGGAGCTGGTGTTTCCTTTCTAAATGTCATTTAAGCAGTGACATCCCAGGCGTCCATCCTGCTTTCATCAATTGACCTATGTGCAGCAGATACTGAAAATACCTGCTGGGCCATTTGCACTATCAATGTAAAAAAACATAACACCGCAGCCAACCTTACCTTTCTGCTGATTCTCTGCTGCTGCACCTGGTGGCACTAATGGATGCTCAGTGAGACAGGCATTGTCTGAAACCTGAAAATAATGTAGGTTGAAACTCTCCAGCCTGAAGTATACACCCTTTTGCTTTCCTTACTGGCATGTTTTGTGCCGTCCCAGGCCCCTCTTCCTCCTTAGAAGAAACACTGTGAATATTAGGAGTTTCAGTCAATATTATTGCCCCCTTCTCTCTGCTAGACTCAGTGACTGACTCCTCAGTCTAAGACACACCCAGATTCTTTGTCCTCTTCCATGTCTAGAAAGAAATTTAGAGAGGCACAGTTATTGTCATAGCCCATGGCTCCACATATAGCACTTGGTAATCATTTGCTGTTTGGCTCGTGTTCAACAAGATCTGCTTAGTTTGTCTAGTGGAGGAGGGAGGGGAAGATACAGTTGACCTTTGTTTCCGTACAATAGCACCACTCGTTTTCTCAGAGTGGCAGTGGCACAGACACATTGTTTTTCAGGAGGTATCTATTTGATGGATTATACCTAGTGAAACTAGCTAAAGCAGCAGCCACAGCCCCTTTCATGTTGCTGAACATGAAGTGATCTAGTCAATCTCATTATGTTAGACTACAATTTTGTGGCAGTGCACTCAAGTGACAAACCTTTGGTAAAATGGAGAGAACACTAACCTGTCAGAGGAAAGGGGTCAAGAAGATTTCATGATTTGGAGAAAGGCCTCAAAGATTTGGGTTGTTCCCTGAGGATACCCAAGTACACAAAAATCAGTCAATCATTCACTCATGGATGGTATTATTTATTTTAATGTCCCAAACATGCTAGATGCTTTGCAGACAAATATGGAGACCAGATGTCTGCTTCCTAAAGATCTTATAAATAAAATTGTGCTTCCTACAGCCTTTCAGCAGACAGAAGTGACATACCAGTATTCCCTGGCTTTAAATTAAGTAGTCTGACTTGTTTACCACCCTGTTCCCTAATTTGTGTTTGGTGATGAAGTTCACTATATTCCTTTTAAAAGCATCAGATATAATATCTTTAAAGTCTCTCAATCAATTAGGTTATATCTGAATACAGTGAGGTTGCTCTAATTTTGCATAGATTTCTTAAGTCCAGACCTATAAAATACTCTCGTTGTGAAACATTTGGGTGATGCTCATTAAAAATATTATTCTCTGGATGTGAAATCCCAGCCCCATTCTAAACAATGGCCGAACTCTCATTGATGTTAGTAGGGTCAGGATTTCAGCCTAGATGAGGGAATAATTAGAGTTCCATTACTAGGAATATTCTTACAAATTATCCTTCTGAAGCAGGCATAAGATACCCAGACTTCCCCCGCTCCTCCTGCCATTTACAAATATTTCATTGTGTCCAGTAGTTGGGTCAGTGTAAATTTCCCAGCTTCTCTAAATGTGAAATATAGTGCCACTCCGGGCCCTTTCCTAGATGAGTGTAGCAGGGTCCCCTCATGGCCAGAGCTGCCTCTGCAGTGCCCTCCTAACAATTCCTCCCCTCTTCAGGGCTCTCCACAAACTCACCAAATAAACAGCCTCCAGGTCCTTCTTTAGACTTTTTCATTTCCCTAATACAACAAACCAAAACTGACAACAACAGCAGAACGGTTACCCTGCTGGTCCACAGCTTACCGCCAGGCCTCCTGCCTCTGGCAGCCCCAGCAACTCTCACGACCCTCCCTGACTAGCAGCTTCCTCTTCATTGCAACTTCCTGCTGCTCTCATAGTGGAACCAGCTGTGGCTCTTTCATAATCAGGGCTGGCCAGCCCTAGGCCTTCCAGTCCTTACAAGTAAGCCCTCCTTACACTCCTCCCCTAAAACATCACCCACCCCAGAGCAAGTTCTACTTGAGGAGATACTTCCCACCCACCCACTCACAATTTACCAGTGTCACTGGCCATATGAATGCAAGAATGGGGCTTTCAGAGACTCCAGCTCCTTTCCTGTAGGGTTGCCTGATGTTCCTCAACTAACTGCTCCCATGTTCCCTGAGAAGGCGCTTGAGCTATCCACACTTCCCTTGTTTCCTCAAGACCCACCCTTTAGGTGCCCCCCACCTCCCCATAGGACATTGCTTGGGTCCCAACAACCACCCCTGGAGCACAGTTTGGGTTCCACTGTCCCTGGTCCGGCACTTGCTTCCCGGGACTCCTCTCTGTCTGGGACTTAACACTGTCTGTCTGTCTCAACTTCTTTCCCTGGGTGAGCTGGCTTTCTGGTCTAAACTCTCTCCTGTATCTATAGAGTGGGCCAGAACCCCTTACTCTTCCTGCCTCTTTTCAGATACATGGAGTTCATAAAGTCTACTAACAAACTATACATAACACCAACATTTGCCAGGCTCTCCTGGTGAACATGTCCCATTTTTGGCAAGATCTGTTCCCTTTCTTGTACTCCTCAGACCAATGTCCAACTTCCCTGTGGTTCCAGTCTTCAAAAGAGCAAGTACTCCACTTATGACCTTCCATCCCAATGTCAAGCTGTCTGGGGTGGCTCATGAGCCTGGGTACCAACTTCAGGACAGGCTGTTACAAACCAGGGCACAAACCCCAAATGGGTTGTGAGTTCTATACTTAGATTTCACCAACCAAGTATGTTGAACTCTAGCACTATAACAGCCTTAACATGGAGTCACACACTGTCCCCCTTGGGAACTCCAGTCTATCTTACCACCCAGGCAAGACTGCCTTTGTGATATATTGTCCCTTACACCAAAAATCACAATATTCAGGTTACTCTCAGTCTCAAAGGACTGGCCACTTACCGCAGGTCAATTGCACTCTAGATCCGACACCAAAGACAACACTTGTAGTGAATCCTATAATAAACTATCTAAAGATTTATTAACTAAGAAAAAGAAATGAGACTTATTTACAAAGTTAAAGCAGGTAAACATACACACACAAATGAGTTACAGTGTTAGGTTCCAGAAGGTGGTAAAAGCTTCTATAATAAGCAAGCTCCATAAGTCCTTAGGGCTAACCCAGGCCAAGCACTGGGATCCCTTGCTTATGCTTAGCCATCCCAAAGTCCAAGCAGCACAGAGAACCCGTTCTTTCTTGTCAGGGATTTTTATTTCCTTCCCCCAGAATTCAAACTGATGGAATGAGTCCACCTACACATCTCCTCTTCTTGGGTGTAGGGAGGAGTAATCAACAAAGTCTTTTGTCCTCTGATGTTCTAAAATGGCTCATTTGGTTTTAATGGGCCTTCTTCTTACTTTCTGTAAGAAGTCAGCATTTTACATTAATTAATGCTCCTTTCCTGTTTGATAACTTATACAATTACAGAGGTTTACAAAGCAAACATGCAATATAACCTTATAACATGGAGTACAGAAGATATAACTGAGATTAATGCATGCAGCAACTTACAAGCATTTCACAAAGTCTAAATACTAAACGTGTATAAATCTAATACCTATTTTAACAATACTAGCACAAAGGTGAGCCAGACTGGTTTCCAGATATGCATTTGTCAGTGTTCAGTGAGGCCTAAGGGCCTTGGCATGAGCTGGCACCTGGTCTGCCAGCAGCACATGAGAAACATACCTTGTAGGGGCTCTTCTTCCTCCTCAGAGGGGACAGACTCTTAGTAGACAACCCCAGGCTACCCATGTGGCTGAAATAATACTCTGTAAAGTCACATTCCATGACAGGCGGTTCCTCTGAATGCGTTCTGCTTTCCCACAACAAAAACACACTACTGGGGTCTCTCTATCATTCCTTATGGAGTTTTTACCAATTGGCCAGGATAGATGAGCTGTTGATCATTCTTCTGAGACCTCATGTCCTGGGCTAGTTTTAACTTCTTCCCTCTGTGGGCTTCTCCTGGTCGGGGTATCCCTGCTACTGGCCTTCCCCCAAAATTGGGTGGTCCTGATCTGGCCCATTGCTCCAACAGCTCGGCTCCCTCCGCTTCCAAGCAAGCCTCTGCCTTCCCCAGCCAAAACCACTCTAACTGGGTTTGAGCTCCCACAGGCAGGACTTACAAGAATTGTTCTAGAACAATGAAGTCCATGATTTTCCCCAGAGAGTTCATCTCTGGACTCAGACCCCGTTCAGCCAGATTCCACAACCTCTGGGCTACCACGTGGGATCATGCACCCTGCGGAAATGGCTCGATGCAGAATTCATGCTGGTATGCTTCTGGCATCAGTCCTAATCTGTCTAAAATGGCTGCTTTCAATTTGGGGTATGACTCTGAGTTTTGCCTGCGAGTCACCCAAAGCTCCAGAAGCAGCTTGAGCCTCGCCAGTGAAAAATGGCACCGTTCTGGCTGCCCAAGTGGAGTCTTCCTGGCCCACAGCATGGGAGACCTGCTCAAAGATGCAGAGAAAGGCATCAATGTCATCCTCAGGGCCCCCATTTTGCCCAGGCCAGGCCTGCCCTGTATTAGTCCTGTAAAAGTCTCTAGTTACTGCAGAAACTGCTCCTTTTGTTGGCATTGAGACCCCTGCCACTGCTGCTAGCTGGCAAACTGTATCTCTCTGCTACTTCTGTTGCCTTTGCAAAAGTTATAGGAATAGGGCCTGACTCGATGGTTGCAGTTCTGTGAGTAAGTGGACAGTGTCCTCCATCCCTCTTGTAATGGCATCCCTTCAGTTTCCACTTCCCTCCTTGATGGAACGAAGTTGTAAAATTCATATAGTAGGGTTGGCCGCCTTCCATGCACCCCCAGGTGCCTCTGTGGTTCCCTCCTAACAATTTTTCCCCTTCTCAGAACTCTCGCATTACATGAACACCAAACAAACAGTCTCATAGGCCCTTCTGTCCAGTCTTCAGTCTCCAGGTCCTTCTGGCCAGGCTTTTATTCCTTTCATTTTCCTAATACAGCAAATCAAAATTGAAAACAACACCACAACAGTTACCCTGCTGGTCTTGAGTTCTGTCCTCAGAGGGATCTCTTCTACAGCTTAGCGCCAGGCCTCCTGCCTCTGGCCATCCCAGCAAGTGGGGAAATGACTGTCAAGTAGTTTCTCCTTTGAAGTTTCATTCTGGACTTTTTTTAAAATGTCCTTTATTTCCTATGTTAGTGCCTAGATCATA